AGCATGTAATTGTGTTTTATCTGCCTTAAGTAGTGCTATTCGTGCAACATCACTCTGTTGATCCCTCTTGTTAGCTATAAATATCCCAGTAGCATTGGAAATCAATGGGGGTAAACCTTGAGACAGGATTTTTAAAAAAAGCGTATTATATAGGACAAGCAAACCAAAATATAAATTATTATATTTTATTACACAAATTCTATAATACTTAATTCACAGTAACATTTTATTCAGTTAAGAATCATATCTGAGCTTCCTGTGGTCGTGCAGCCTGAAGAGCTGCTTTTTTCAATAGATTGCGATACACTGTTTGGACAGCGTATATCAGCCGTCTGACAGATTGATAACCCTTTCCTCGGGTGAAGAGGAAAGGGGAGAGCTGCTGAGCTTGGGGAGAGCTCCATTAACACCCCCCCTGGAGTTAATTCTGGGGTGTGGAAGGTGTGAGCCCCCCTGCAACTCGGCAAACTCCACGCCCGGGACTCATTCTGCTTTTTCGCAGAAACCAAGGCTCACGATCATCCCTGCTCAATGTTTGATTTAGATTTGAGCCCAAAGCAGGCAGAGCAGATACCAGAGAATTTACAACTGAAGCTACATGTAAACTTTAACTCCATTTTCCTTCTATTAAAACTAATGAGACAGAAGATAAAATGGCGCCGGAGTCTTGAAGGCGGGGCCGAATCGTAATCTAACAAACTACTACAGAGTTTAAATCACTTAAAACGGCATTGATTTATTAACAAGCTACAACAGTAATAATTGGAATAAGCTGTTTTTTGGACTTAATAATTTGGTGGAAGATAAGCTTAATTGAAGGTTAGAAATGGCTTCAAAACAAGTTCAAACAACAACGGCCTCGAAGAGTGCTGGTAGCTCTCCAGCCCCCACAAATAAATTACAGTCATTACTACCCCCTCCCCCTCCTCCTGCTGGAGAAGCTTTAACCCAAGAGCTCCTGCAAAGAGTCATAAATGATGCTCTAAAAGTCCATGCAGCTGCTTTAGAACTTAAAATACAGTAAAAGGTTTCTGCTGCCTTTAAGGAGGTCATGGATGAGATTTTGGAGATTAAAGATTTAATTCAGATTCGCAACCAAGAGATCAGAGAAGATATTGTGGAAGCCTTTAAAGGCTTGTCTGGCTACATATCTTTATTGGATGAAAAAGTGGAAGAATTTAATGAGTCTAATGTTAATTTAGCAAATAAAATGGAGGAACTCCAAAACAAGGTTCACGATACAGAAACTGAAATCACAATGCTATAATATAGGCAGATGGAAGTTGCTCTGAGAATAAGAGGCATTAAAGAGAATAATCAAGAAAACCTGAAGGAGATTCTTTCAGAAGCCTTTGATCAATTAGTAGGTCAACCAAGAAGGGACTATGACTGGCAAATAGATAAAATATACCACGTTAACTCATGGATTGCCAGATAGAAACAACTCCTAAGAGACATTGTAGTCTACTTTGCCACAAGGAATATGAGGAACCTGATACTACAAGAGCCCTATAAAACCAAGTTCCAGATTGAGGGCCAGGAGGTGACTGTTTTGAAGGAAATCCCACCCAAAATGCTGAGATCCAGAAAAGACCATGCATTCCTAGTGGACAAACTCAAAAATTGCCAGCTACAATACAGATGGGAAGCCCCAGCCGGATTAGTGGTCAACTACCTGGGACAAAGACACCATCTTAACTCNACAAAAAGGGCCCATTTTTGTGAAAATGGGCCCTTTTTGTCAAAAAATGGGGGAGGCATAGCCTTTAGGCAGCTTATAGAATGCTCCTAAGGGCTGGGGGGGCAAAAACAAGCAAAAAATGGTCATTTTTGCTCATTTGTGCCCTCCCAAGCCCCCAGGAGCACCCTGTAAGTTTCTTAAAGGCTATGCACAGCCATTTTTGCAAAAGGGGGGGGGAGGCCAAAAACGCTGTATTCAGGGTATAAGATGCACCCAGATTTTCACCCTCTTTTTTGAGGGAAAAAGGTGTGTCTTATATGCTGAAAAATACGAATTTTATTTTATTTTACTTTATTATTTTATTTTATTTTATTTATTTCGTCAAGCATGTATTAGATAACATATATAAGTATAAACATGATTTTGAATACATGAAATGGATATGAATAAAAGGGAACATTAGGACAGTGATGGTAGACATGTTGGTGTGCTTATGCACACCCCTTACAGACCTCTTAGGAATGTGGTGAGGTCAACAATAGACAGTTTAATATTAAAGTTTTGGTTTTTTTTGGAAGAAACCATAGAGTCAGGAAGTGCATTCCAGGCATTGACCACTCTGTTGCCGAAGTCGTATTTTCTACAATCGAGTTTGGAATGGTTTACCTTAAGTTTGAATCTATTGTGTGGTCATGTATTGTTGTGGTTGAAGCTGAAGTAGTCATTGACACATAGGACATTGTAGCAGTTAATCATCTATTTGCTATCACATCTATCTATCTCTATCACATTCCATAACTCCAATCATCTTTTCTCAAGGCTAAACCTAGCCTGTTCTTTAATCTCTTTTCAAAGGATTTAGTTTCTTACGTCCAGTTTATCTTTGTTGCACTGAATTTATTTTAATTCTGTACCCAGAACTGGGTTGGAAAAAGAATTCAGGATGGAGTCTTGATGATGCAAAAGGGAGAAAAAGAGTTATTTCCTCTTCTTACACATAATCTATCGGTGAAGCCTAAAACTGCATTTGCCTCTTTTCTGCCTTCTTTCTGCTGCTTCATTTTTCCAGTCTTTTAGTAGTCTAGGACTGCTCTCCAGCTATACTTAAGGAGAGATTTATGGCCTTCTATTGAGACATTTCTCTTTCCCTAGCAGAGTACAGCTCTCTCTCGCTTTCTTTGGTCTCAGATTCATGCCTTGTTTGACCCTAACACTCTGCAAACTTCCAGACAATGAGGAAGATGAAGTAGCAGTTCTTCTGGAAATTAGTATCAGAGACTAAATCTCTCTTTGCTCCATTTTATAGAAGAAGTAAAAAGATGTGGAGGGTTTTTTAAAGAAGAAACTTTCAGGTTCAACTTTATTCTTTTTATCTTACATTGATCCCAAGCCAGTTAAACTGAAGTAGTTTATTTTAATTTAGGATCAAATGGATTTACATTTTAAGCATTTGAACTTAACTAGGCAGTGGGTCGAGATCAAACTCTTTCACTTATTGTTTTTCAATACTTATGCTGTCATCTTTTTACCTTCCCCATCTCTTTTCTCCTGCTCTTTGAACATTTTCCAAACAGAACTTAAAAATAATAACAAAACATAAACCTGAATGATCCTCTAGTTCCTCAACAGATTTTTCAGGTGATACATTTTAGAAGTTCTCAGCAATAATGAGTTTTCAATGAGGTTCACTTCCCTTGTATTTCTAATGTTGGCAATATAGGTAGAAGTTACTGTAGACGTTAGTTGCTGTTCAATATTCCATGCATTAGTTTTATGAACTCAATTTTAGTATGTTATATAGCTACCTTATAAATAAGGCATAGTATTATTTTTTCAAATTGCTTGGAATTTAATTTGCTCTAATAAAAAGATATTAGTGAGATCTTAAAGATTAATACATTTATAAAGGTATACGCCAGGCAAACCTATGGCATGTGTGTCAAGGGTTACATGCCTTGACATTTTGGGTGATATGGCAGAATTCTCCAGTGCTGAACAGCTATTCACCCTGCTTGAGTTGCCAAATAATGAATACAAACTCAAGAAAATATGAGACCCTGCACCATCCAATACTTAAAATGGGTTCCATCCATATCACCACCCATATCTTCAGAATCATGATTTGTAGTGACATGAAAAAGAGAGGAACTTGCTAAATGAAATAACTACAGGGTAGTCACAAAGATCAGTTGCCCCGCAGTTGTTGAACAGGGTGATCATTTGTGCCACAAAGCTCATTTTCAAGGCGCAAGTACAAAGGACATCTGTAACCAGTCTCCAAAATGAGTGCACTATCGCCGATTGTATGAAAACAGCTTTTGTGTACATGTGAACAAGAAGTGCACTGAATTATAACTGAATATGTAAAGATTTGTTTTTCTTTGGTTGAGGGTGGTGTGAGGTGTATGTGATGTGCCAGTAGAGGCAAGTGACACATTTTCCAAATTTCCCAAGCGCTAAAGATTTACCATCACTGGTATAAGTTCATATGGACCATATCCATTTCAACCAATGCAAAAAATATTATTCTGGTGAAATGACAGATGACAAATAATAAGTCATGATATCTCTATCATGGTGGCGGGGGTGCAAAAAAATATGGAAAGTGACAATTACATTATTAATAGCGGCCATTCACATAAGCTATTGGATGAGAGACATATATTATGCTTCTGGTGAACGGAAATACATTTGTAAAGTGATAAAAATAACTTTTCAAGACAGATGAGATATTGCTCTTGATGGAACTGTATCTTATTGGTTTACAGTGAAGTTCACTTGTTTTAAAATAGCCACTTTCAAATCTGTGATAATATCCTGGGAGGGTGAAATGCCTTCCTATTTCTTCTACCAGATTTATATCTGTTTGGGTCTTTGTTTCTTTATTTGTTCAGGGCCAAGTCAGTCTTTGAATCAGTTTCATTCTGTTCCACCTCACTAAGAATTTTACTGCTTGTAGAAACTAGGCCAGAACTTCCACAGAACCTCTGAATATGTGTTGGGAAAAGATTATGTGGATTTCATATGTGCATTGATACCATGCCTCAAATGTTAAATGCTGTATCCCCCCACACATGGCTTTAAATAGATGTTTACTAAGAGGTGGGGGAGAGTTGAGCCTTGTGGCATCCCTTGCTGGGAGAACTTGACCTCTTCAGAGCACGAATTGAAAAAAAAACCATGGACTTCCCCTTATTGGATGGTCGAGCTTTGCTTTGCTGCCTTTGATCATTGGAGTTTCTGGAGTGATAGGAATGTTGGCATAGCTGGTTGGCAAACATACCCCCCTCTTGAGAAGGACCCACCCATAGTCAATTCTGTCTGGTTTGTGGCTTGCTGACAAAAAAATAGGCAAAAGCAGCAGTAGAAGGCTACTAGAACACAATAATCAGAGATAGGCAGGGCACAGAGAAGGTGTGTGCCCAATTAGCTGTC